ACATAGACTAAATTGTATTGTCTAAATAAGATTGTCTATATATGATATGATACCTATAAATGTATCAAATCTCTAATCTGAATTCTCACTAACAGAAAAATCCAAAAATCACCTATTAATATGTTTATTTGTATGCAAATAATCTAAGCCTTAAAGCACTTCTTTGATTATCAACATTGCAATAGATTCTGATATTTTTTTTCTTATTTTATTAATGTTATTTACAAAGATCCCATATTCATGTACTTCCATAACAATATAGATATCCCCCTTAGAATAAAATGGGCCATAAAATTAAACAACATATTATGAATTACATTGAATTAAAGCCTTTAATTCTTTCTTCAAAAGTGACTCTTATACTTCAATTTACTAACAAAGTAAATAAACTAAAGTAGGTTTTTGAGGTAAAATTAAGAAATAATATAATATTTCTCTACTTTTTTCTTCACTTGATTTATCTATGAAATTGAGATTAATATTCAGAATTCATAATCCTATTATATATAAATAAATTAATAATAATAGACATTTAAAATCATTATAGGAATGTATCTAATATTATTGAATTTAGATATTATTATAAAATATAAGAGATGAATAAATTAAAGAAGATGATTATTTTTAAATAAATATGATTAAAAGTATAATTTTTAAAATAATTTTTTTTTAATATAGTCATTAAATATTTCCTTATTATTTTTAAATGATTATATTAAATAAGTTAAAATGATTATTTAATGTAATAACAAAAAATAGAATACCTATGAAAATAGTTGTTATAGGACATGTTGATTCTGGAAAATCAACTACAATAGGGCATTTAATTTATAAGTTAGGTGGAATAGATTAAGAAACTATAAAATAATTTGAAGAGGAAGCTAATAAAATTGGTAAAGGATCATTTAAATATGCTTGGGTTTTGGATAATCTTAAAGATGAAAGGGAAAGAGGGATTACAATTAATACTTCTTTCAAAAATTTTAAATCAAAAAAATATGATTATAGTGTGATTGATGCACCAGGACATAGAGATTTCTTAAAAGGTATGATAACAGGAACATCATAAGCAGATGTAGCTTTATTAATGATTTCTTCAAGTGTTGGTGAATTTGAGGAGGGTATATCTCGATAAGGATAAACTAAAGAACACATATTATTGGCTTATTAACTTGGAATTAAATAAATAATTTGTGCAATAAATAAGATGGATGATAAATCAGTAAATTATTAACAATAAAGATATGATGAAATAGTTAAAGAATTAAAAATTTATTTAAAAAAAATAGGATACAATGAAAACAATATTCCATTTATACCAATTTCTGGCTGGAATGGTGATAATATGTTAAATCCATCACCCAATTTATTATGGTATCATGGTCCAACTCTATTCGAAGCATTAGATACAGTAATACCACCTTATAGACCAATAGATAAACCATTAAGACTTCCATTATCAGATGTATATAAAATAGGTGGTATTGGAACTGTTCCAGTAGGAAAAGTATAAACTGGTGTATTAAGATAAGGTATGATTCTTTAGTTTGCACCATCTGGTATAGTAAGTGAAGTAAAATCCTTAGAAATTACGCATTCAGATTATTATGAGGCAATACCTGGAGATTAGATAGGTTTCAATGTTATAAATGTATCAGTTAAAGATTTAAAAAGAGGATATGTTGCTTCTGAGTTAAAGAATGATCCAGCAAAAGAATGCATTTCATTTATTGCTTAAGTAATTATAGTAAATTATCCTGATAAAATTTCAAATGGATATTGTCCAATAATAGATTGTCATACAGCACATGTTGCATGTACATTTGATAAAATAATATCTAAAATTAATAGAAGAACAGGTAGAGTAATAGAAGAGGAACCTAAATTTATTAGATCAGGAGATTGTGCTATTATTAAATTGATACCAACAAAACCTTTATGTGTTGAAGTGTTTTCTGAATATCCACCATTAGGTAGATTTGCTGTAAAAGATATGAAATAAACTGTTGCAGTTGGTATTATTAAATCAGTTGAAAAAAAAGAAATGCAAATAATTAAATGAGAAATATTTATTTATAATTTATATATATATAAATATATTTAATAGAATATTAAAGATGCAAAGATATATTAAGATAAATTATAATTTTAAATTGTTATACTCAAACTTTATATCTATGTTAACAAGCAAAACAACCATAGAAGATTGTAGCTGATTCATCTGCTCTTCTAATTTATTTAGAAGTTAGATAGAGACTTCATATCAATGTATCCCCAGATAGAGTAATTCTAATACACTAATAAATATCGAGGATGGTATATTAGAGTTAAGATGAGAGTTATTCAATTGTTATGACTGGTTAAATAAAGACTTTAATTCAATATTTAAAAATTCCCAATAAAACTAATAATCACAGGTATATTTAAAAAATATTCCTTAAAGAATAAGTGCATTTGAGGTAAGAAGTAAGTTTAATACTCTTTACTTATTGGATATTGTTAAGAAAGGGAGTCATTACCACTTATTCAGCTGCTACTCATTAAATTCGAGTTGAAGTATACACCTTCCATTTGATATAAACAAAAAATGCTGTTTTCGAAATTATTTATAAAAGAAGCATGTTGACATACAGTAAGAATAAAATCAGAATATCATATATTAATGACTCACCACTAGCGATAACATTAGACCATTTGATAGAAATTTATTAAAAGGTTATTGAGGATAGTATCTGCATTGAAATAGGTGCAAATGATTATACCATGAGAAACAACTAAAGTAGAATTACATAATTGTTATTGTCTAATTAATATCATCTTAAAAGATCAAAAATAATAAATAAGTGTATTATTGTTTTGACTTTTAATCCATTAAATCAGTTAGAATTT